TTACGGGTTTCCACACTTTACAAACCCTAGAACAAAATCTCTTAACACTCTCTTCGAGAGTCTTCACGTACTAATAATGCGGGAGCTATACAAGTCTCCCTGAATTACACACTCCAGATATGACTGGTTATCACTGGTTATCGCACACGCGGCTGTAGCTCGTAACTTGCGAACTGAGAAGTCGTTGATAACGCACTCGGCGACTGTCACAGTACAACTGACTGTGAATAGCCTTCGCTGCTCCTTATGTAGCCTCGATCGGACAATACGGCCACGTAATAGGCACCCTTGTTGCCTGGCGCTGTGTTGCTAGCAACGCTAGCGGTAGTAACCGCTGTTACTACCGTAACAATCCTGTTGCGTCACCGTTACGTTACCGTGCGGAGGAGGGGGAGGGGAGCGCTGACTCACCCGCCGCGTCACTGCTGGTGGGGGGGTCTCCTTTGCGCAACATGTCACAATATGTATAATATGTTTGTTCTGCACTCTGGTGGAGAGACGTGAACATATATTTAATTTAGTTTTCAGGTGAAAGTGAAAGTGAAAGAATGTAATTTTGATTCTCTGTTAATCCAATCATTACGAGCAATTAATTTGTCTTGTGTGTTGTACCACAGGTGACTACTTGGTGCGAAAGTTGTACGTGGCACTCCACACCACCGCCATATTGACAGCAGATTGTATTCCTTTAATCAGGGGTCCTTATTTCTATTTTCGCTTTAGATTATGTTATTATTCAGACTGAGCATGTGAATATTCTCTGACTCTCTCTTGGAAAGAACTGAGGAAAATAAAAAGACATAGAAGATATAGGATCTGAGGTTCTCACAGCGGTGGTTATGAAGTGTTATATCTTTTTGGGATATAGGTTCTCATCGCGATGGTTATGAAGTGTTATATCTTTTAGGGACATAGATTCTCACAGCGATGGTTACGAATTGTTATATATTTTTGGAGATATAGGTTCTCATTGCGATGGTTATGAAGTGTTTTATCTTTTGGGGATATAGGTTCTCACAGCGATGGTTATGAAGTGTTATAACTTTTGGAGATATAGGTTCTCACAACGATGGTTATGAAGTGTTATATCTGTTTGGCATATAGGTTCTCACAGGTATGCTTACGAAGTGTTATATCTTTTTGGGATATAGGTTCTCACAGCGATTGTTTTGAAGTGTTATAACTTTTTGGGATATAGGTTCTCACAGCGATTGTTATGAAGTGTTATATCTTTTAGGGATATTGGTTCTCACAGCGATTATTATGAGGTGTTATATCTTTTGGGGATATAGGTTTTCACAGCGATTGTTATGAAGTGTTATATCTTTTAGGGATATTGGTTCTCACAGCGATTATTATGAGGTGTTATATCTTTTGGGGATATAGGTTTTCACAGCGATGTTTACGAAGTGTTATATCTTTTCGGAATATACCGCCGTGTAGCCCTTTGAAAGTGTAGCAACGTTTTAGAGCAAAATGGACCCTTCATCTTCAGGCTTGAAGCTATGAAAGAAATGATCATGAAGCAGATAACAAGCGAAGCTGCTACTCGACCTTGTATCCCGTAAAATATAACTTCTCACTTTAGAAGAATGTTCTATCAGTTTTTAATTTAATTCCGACTAAAGAGCTTCATTGTAGCCCATCATGTCGTAAAGGAAAATGTAAGGTTATCTCTGTAACAGGCCGTGGAGGCCCATAGGGTTGTGAGACGTCGAGGCTCGCATATTTTCTTGACTGTCGGTCACAGATGACGGTGGGGTTGTCAGCCCTAACCGCCGGCTGTCCTTTACCTCCCCGGGAAGATTCCTATTACTCATTTCTGTTAAAGGCCGGGTAGACCCCAGGACCATAGTGTGTCTGGAAGAATTACGTCAAATGAAAAATCAAATTACATCATCGGTTATCGAACCTGCGGCCTTCCGGCTTGTAGAATAATGCCCCCCCCCAAGAATGCTATGCATACCGATTAACTGTATCCGAAGAATGAGACTTACCGAGCGGGTTACCTTAGCGGTAACGTTCTAGACTCCTAATCGGAAGGTCCTCAGTTGGAATCACAGTCGGACCCCAACTTCCCTGACTGAGGTTTTCGTGATATTTTTAGTACGCCCAAGCAAATGCCTGGATGATACCTCCATTCCCTTTCAATTCATCATTCACCATATAATTCGACGCATTGTAAAGAAACCAACAAATTCTTCAGTAGGCAGGAGCATAAACCTCAATTTCCGTGTGCGTGGCCGTTGGTTGCGGAAGTGCTTCACTCCGAAGAACAACAACACAGTCACAGTATCAAGCCTCTGAATCATGAAGTCCAAGGAAGTGGAGAGAAGAAATAAAGAAGAGTGGAGGGGTAGGCGAAAAGAGAACGTCGATATTATGTAGAAGTGGAAGTCACATTACTTCGGCGGGAGAAAGAGCGTCACTTTGTTAGTAGGTCCGCAGGTTCCTACCTACAGTCCAGTGGTTTGCAGTGTGTGAGACGGGCCCCACGGGGGAAAACTATTTGGTAGGGAGTACGCATGATGTTTTGAGAAACTTACGCAGTAAAATGGAATTGGTTTTAATTTTCAGGTGTATTTTTTTTTTAAATTTTGATACCAATTAGTAGATAAAAATTTAAAATTATATTAATGTTAAGAATGAGAAACTGTGGAAGCTATTTTTATTATACACTGAGTTAAGAAGGGGGGTAGGCTCGATGACATCATTACTTAACTGAGTTGAGTGCCACTGTATAAAGTAGTGAAGCCACTGCACTAGCCATTCTGAAGAAGGAAGTAAATAATGAAGTTGTTAGGTCCGATGGCTTGAGACAGGGTGCTATGGAATTTTGATATTTTCATGAATTATTAGTGAATTTCTTAATTTGGAAAAATAATTTGGCGGTCTAGTTCATTTTGATGAGATTAAATGTGGGGAGCCGGTCACTGCAGCCGAGGGGTCTACGGCCTGCACAATCTTCGCTCGCTCGGAAGCCTGGACTGTGGGTTCAGATCTCACTCAGGGCATGGATGTTTAGTGTTTATGTGTGTGTGTGTGCGTTTTTCTTTGTTTATGTATAGGTAGAGGTCTTGCGACTAGCTGATCACACGCTCAAGGAGTCCTACCGAATGTCTAAGACCTAGTGAAACGGAGAGTTTCATGGAGGTAGCTGAAGGCCCAAATTGGGGCTGTAGCGCCAAAAGGAAAAAGTCTGGGGGAGGGGGTCTTCATGACAAGCACGTAACAGTAACTTCGGACTTGGTAACAGTTTAAGCATTTGTTTGAAGACAGAGGAAACAACAAGATAGCTATGACGATTATAAATAAATCTGCACTTGAAAACTCAGTCTCTACCTGACAGTGAACGTACTGCCTCAGAATCACGAAGACCAGTCGGTTATATCATATAGGGAAATAATCGCTGCTTATCTGGAAATAAGCTCTGACCTATGCTTACTACCACCTTTATGCTTTCTTCTTACTTAGCTTATTCTTCATCCCCGAAGATGGAGGTTATATGCTCCTCCGAAACGTCGGTTGACTTTTAACGATATGGAGGGAGTTATATCCCAAAATACAGAAGTCTTCAAGCGTTACGTATTGTGACGCATATGGTCATTGTTAGCAACGACTCGGTAAAGAGTCCCACAGTTATGCTCTCAACAATAGAAGGACATAAATTGCTAGATATCGGGCCAATAAACACCTTCCCGCGGAGACAGATTCTTGGTAAACAGCCTATTGCTAGGTAACGGGCCAATAAACGCGGATTCTAGGACAACAGGAGAAAAGTGTTTTCCGTGGGATGCGTTCTGAGGAATTACAAGAGAGTCAATTTGCGAAGCTAGCAAGTGTAGGAGTACAGAAGCGCTGCAGGAACCATCTGTTGTAGAGCGAGATCGAGACTGGCCCGAGTCCGCGACAGTCAAGATTTCAGCTGAAGATTTATTGTGAGCTGTTGTAAATTGATTGTGATTAAGCGTGTCTGTGAAAGAAGTGTTAAAACAAGTGTTGATAAATCCAATCATCCAATCCAGACCTCATTATTATTCACGGAACCTCGGACACGTGACAGTATTTTGGATCTGAAATTCTCACAATTCTGAATATGAAGAGCAATATCTTCTGGGATGTGACGTCGTACATTCTGGTAGAAGTTTATTGACGTTTCGGAGGAACGTACTGACGCCACATTCAGGATAGATTAGTAAACGAAGCAAGTATCACAGATCGCTCTGCTTGTTTGTTTCCTGTTTCGCTTACTTTTAGTCTCTGAAGGCGAAGGATGTATCTTCTTCCGAAACGTCGGCAAAATTCCATCAATCTACAAGTAGTCACTTCCCAGAAGTTAAACTCATTAGGTGTTACATAGAGTTACAGTTGTACTTTAAGTGATTAAATCGTAGTAAATTAATGTTCAACTCAGGAGAGGTGCAGTACGTCGGAAAGCAATATACGTGTATGAACGAAAAGCAACATTTCTGCTATGGCCGCGTCTGCGCCGTCCCTTATGTCCCTTCAAACTCTCCCCCCCCCTTGCGAGAATGTTGCTTCCTTGTGCAGCGTCAGTAGCGGCAAGCGTCTCCCCGGGGGTGTCAGCCAGCCAGCCAGCCGACTCGCGGACAAGCAAAGCAGTAACGGACGCGCAGTCGGGCGTAGTGGTTCGTCGTCACAGCGCCCGCCATCTGTCGGCGTCGGTCCCCACGTGCTGACGTGCAAGCTGAATTTGACAAGCCAAATCAATTCACCCCCTCAGTGGGCGCAAGCATAGGTAAATCTCTGTCGTAGTGTTTGTACTCACCCTGTAAGTGATTTTTGGTGTTTCTCGAGACTTTGTCCCTCTTCCCTCGAACTTTATGGGCATAATAAAGATATGCAATGTCTCATAAGCATTATAAGAAGTTAAAGTGTCATGTAAATGTAATAAAATGTTTATTTTAGTGGTTTACGTACGTTGAATGGGACATTAGTGGGTGAAACCATTATTATTCTTAACATTTTTAACTGAAATTTAGTGAAATACGTAATTATCTGTTCACTAGTGTTTATATTGCTTGAAGAATGGAATTCCGCTTTTAGTGTGTGTAAGTGAACGTGTTTTAAGTGTTTAATTTGTGAATAAAATCAATATTATTTCCCTTCTACATGAGTAAACATTAGGACTGATATTTGAATGAGAATGGTAGTGAATGAAAGATCAAAGCGATTAAATTAATTTAAATCTGTTAGAAAGAAATTAAGTTAAATGTACATTAGTTATTCGTAATCAGATGTAACTGAAATATATGTTATTTATCCCATTCGACTGAGAAATGCCTCGAAATGAACTGGAAAATTTATATTTGAATCACTGTGAACAAACAAAACGAGGAAACAGTTGAAGTAAAGAGATTCCATTATCAGAATCAGATTTTCTGATCTATTATCTCAATTAAAAGAAATCTGAATGAAAGGAACCAAACAATTTTCAACTATGACTTTATTCATCAGACTTCCTGGATTCAACCCCCTCGTGATCTTCTGCATTGGCACTTTAATCAGCATCTCATCAACTGGTGAGTCTGCTGAGATATTTGCTCTCTTATCTTTCGTGCAGGCAAAGTTCTGGAGTGTACATTTCTGATGATCGCCATTTATTTTAATGGACACTGGCTACAAAAAAGTGAGAGTACCTTAAAAGCAACTAATTTCAATCATTATGTAGAAAACCTCGTTAGAGTGTGCCATAATTTTACTAGGTGTTGGATTACAGGTGTGTAACGAATTCTTTTACAGGATGTACGGAATTTGACACTTTTAATAAGATTAATTTGCTACTAGATTATTAGATATTTTCAAGTACTGAAAATTAGTATAAAGCCGCTATTATAATGCTAATCACAATGGCAGCGCGGTCTAAGGAACGAACGCTCTTCGCCCGCTCGAACACTGGGATCGTGGGTTCGAATCCCACTCAAGGCATGGATGTCTGTGTGCGTCTATTCTATGTGACGGGCTGGCGACGGGCTGATCTCTTGCCTAGGGACTCCTACAGACTGTGTATAGGATTAAGAAACTGAAAAAACGGCTAGGAACCACAAGGGCTGTAGATCCATAATTAGATAGCTATTTTATTGGATATCAAACAAGTGAGATGAAAGTTATGACCTTCCTTGTGTCTTGTAAGTAATTAATTGTAATTTTCTTGTTGAGAGCCTTGTCAAACGCAACCATCGTTTTATTAGACATTGGATTCCAGCAGTGAAAATTATTTTTCTGTGGGTACAAAATTTGACATACACTTATTCCAATTAATTTTTAGTGAACTGACAGGTATAATGACTTTTTGAAGTGATGGTATTTAGAGCAACGCAGTGTTTCTCAAAATTCATTTGTTTTGCAATACTTGTGGTTAAAGGTAGAACTCGATAGATCCTCCAGAGGGATATAACTCATGTACATCTAAGTGAAATGACATGTGATGAAAGATATTCATGTTAATCTGAAAGAAAACGAAAATCTGACAGCGAATATTGAAGCGTGGCGCAAGCAGACCGAATTCTTCTTTTGTGGTGAAGTTAGCTGTGACCTTGTTTTGTTTATGATCCCTAGCTGTAACAATTCCTACGGATCTCTTTCCCAATCCACTTCTGTCAGGGCGTTTTCTAAACGCAGTTTGCTACCGGCAGTACGTTTCAGCGCATCCCACAATTAAGGCAACCTTAATATTTCTGTGCACCATTATCACTCATGCAGCTGAGCCCTTCTTGAGAAGCCACCAGTTGTGCAGCTACTCGAGAATTTCCCAGCAATTTATGGGACCTGAAATTTCATTACCGTGTTCCCTATCCTGAACCAGATCAAATCAATCCATCACATCCTATCTGAGACCCATTTTAATATTGTACACACACCTACGCTTTGGTCTTTCCAGTGGTCTCTTTCTTTCTGGTTTTCCCACCAATATCCTATATGCATTCCTCTTCTCCTCCATTCGTGTTACATGCCCTGCCCACCTCATCCTCCCTGACTTGATCATTCTAATTATACTTGGAGAAGAATACATGTTATGAAGCTCCTCATTATGCAGTTTTCTCCAGCCTCCTGTCACTTCATCTCTCTTCGGTCCAAAAATTTTCAACACCATTTTCTCAAACATAATTTTTCTTTTAGGGGTATATAATAAATTATTCTAGAATTATTTTAAATTAGAATTTATCGGCAAACTTCTATTAGACTGCACGTTATCACATCCCAGAAGATGGTAACCTATAGACTCGCTCGACTTCCACAGCCGGTGCCTGTTTGTTGCCTGTCCCCCTCTCAAATCTATACATAACTCAGTCCTCTGGCTTGGTCTCTGTTGTTTCATTGGTGCCTGGAGGTTCATTTATAAAGCTAAGGTCAAGCTATCCCTGTAAGAGGCCCTGAAGACCAATAGGATTATGAGACGTCGAGACTCCAACATTTTCTAGAAAATCGGCTCACAAATGGCGGTGACTTTTGTCAGCCTTATGTGCCGGCAGGCCGCCCTTTACCCCTAGGGAGATTCCTGGTACTCATTTCTGTTAGAGGCTGAGTCGCCCCAGAGCCATAGTGCGGCTGGAAGGATTGGGTCAATTGAAAATTACATTGGCCGTATTGTGAGTCGAACCCGCGACCTTCCGGCTTGTAGTATAGTGCCTCACCCAACTAGGCAACCGCGTGCCAAAATATTGATCTAATTGTTTTAATATTTTTATTTATTTTAATTGTGCAACATTAAATTCCTTATTCGTAATTCTAAATTTCTGTATTTTTAATACGAGTATAACGTACAATAAATTGAAACTATTAATCACCTTCAATATAACATTATACACTAATATTTTTAAATACAAATTCCTTGTATATTTCTGATATTTTTATAGTGGTAATGTTGTAATTCTCACATTATAGAGTAACAAATGGTATAACTTCTATAATATTGACAGGTTGCACTAAAATATAGATCCATATTTGGAGTTCAATTAGCCTTAGCCGTATATAATACTGCCTGATGATGGTACCTAAATATGTACTTACTTACTTACTCACTCACTCACTCATGGAGCTGAGCCTTTCTTGAGGAGTCGCCAGTTCTGCAGCTACTCAAGAATTTTCCAGCATTTTATGGAACCCGAAGGTTCAGTACCGTGTTCACAAGAGCCTTCCAGTGATCCCTATCCTGAACCAGATCAATTCAATTCATCCCATCCTATCTCTCTTAGATCCATTTTAATATTCCTCACCCACCTACGCCTGGGTCTTGCCAGTGGTTTCTTCCTTCTGGCTTTCCCACCAATATCCTACCTGCATTCCTCTTCTCCCCCATTCGTGCTAAATGCTACGTCCACCTCATCCTCCTTGGCTTTATCATTCTAATTATACTTGGAGAAGTGTACAAATTATAAAGTTCCTCATTAACCTTAATATGTGGCGGCAAGAAAGAGAACTCAATCTGTACCTTACATAATCATATATATGGGGGAGTGGATGTATAGGGGCCACATTTTCTTGACCTCGGCACTAGTTAGAGGTGAGTTTGCAACTTTACGCCCCGGTCGTTTTAGCCCCGGGGAAAACCCGCGGTACTCATTAGATAGGAGGTTGGGTTGGCCCCAGAGTCGATATGGACAGCGTGGAGAACATTCTTGACTTTACCGGGACTCGAATTCCAACCTCTCGGTAGCCTACCTATAGCCAGTCGCTATACCGACTGCACGATTCCGGCTTCCTTCCTTGGTGAAGACTGAGACGAAAATGTCCCTTACCAGAACCTCGACCGGCGTGTAATTCTCGCGAAAATCTAGAATATGGGCATTTTATTTTATTACTAGTGGGGTGGGACTGAGTCCCTTGTGCTGCGGCCACTTATGGCCTATTGTACAGCCCCAGATGATAGGTGAGGGTGATTGTGGAGCAATTGGTGGAATGAAGTTTGGCAGGGGAAACCGAAGTACTTGGAGAAAACCTGCCCCAGCGCCACTTTGTCCACTACAAATCCTACTTGACCAGACCCGGGATCGAACCCGGGCCGCCGCGGTGGGAAGCTAGCGACTAACCACTTGAGCTATGGCGCGGCCCTCGAATATGGGTAAATGCGCATTATATTGCCACATAGCATTCAACTTTAATTCAACAAAATTGTCTCGTTTTAGTGAAGGAGGATAGTGTTTTACTTTGCTTTGTAACTGAGTTACAGTGCACTGTATTGCGAGCCGGGATAGCTCAGTCGGTATAGCGGCGGGCTACAGGCTGGATGGCCGAGGAATTGGGTTCGATTCCTGGCAAGGGAAATAGAGGTAGATTTTCTCTTCTCCATGTGGCTAGTTCTGGGGTCCACTCAGCTTGCTAACCAATTGGTATTGGGGCTATTCTTCTGGGGTAAAGTTGCCGGGGCTCTAAGCTGACGACTAACCTGTAACCGCTACCGAGCTATTCTTACATTTACCCATACGACTTCGTGGCATTTTGTTTTATTTAATTAAGCCAGGGACAACTTTACTCTAACCTTGGAGTATATTAACATAGGCTCTCCATTTCTCTTCACCGAACACGGACAGTAAATCCTTAATACTAATGTGATAGGAGTAAAAGCGTAAAGTTCTTCCTGTGCTTAACTAATTAAGCACTACACCATGAAGGCGTATGGGGAAGTGAATGTATAGATCCACATTTTATTGACCTCGGTACTAACTGGAGGTGAATGGTCAACTTCACGCCCCGGCAGCTTTACCCCCGGTACCCATTGGATAGAAGGGTTGTGTGGACCCAAGAGCCGCTCTGGACGACATGGAGAAGGGAAAATTCTTGACCCTACCCTGACTCGAACTCCGAACAGTTCGTAGCTATTCGCTATACTGACTATGCTATCACCTTCAAATTATCAGCCACCATTTTTTTTAACATTATTTTCATCTCAATTTTATTCGTCAGGACAAATGAAGATGACCAGTGATATCATTGTCATATATGTAGTAGTTCTCACACAACAAATCCAAATTTAATACAATTTTTGCTTGTGTTTTGATATGGTTGGTATATTTTCTTTATTAACGTAACACGTTCTCCATTTTGAATATGAAATTACATACTCCTTCATCAATTTTACAACAGTGTTACGTAATATTTCAATTATAGATTAATTCCATTAAAAATTATGTTCACATCCCGTTTCTATCACGTTGGAGTGATTTCAATGCAGTCCTATGGCTCTAGCAAATTAACTTAGCCCCCTGCCATGTTAAATATTCTACAACACGCTGACGGAGGGGTTCATGCAGAGTTGTATAACCAGAAGTAAAACAAATTATGTTTTCTTGTCCGTACACAGGACGATGAATATTTTTCTCACGTTCGCTACAGGAAAATGTGCAGTCTATTCAGACCCGTCATCAATTATACTGATAGTGATACGGTGCCTAAAATTGCCAACAGTGTTTCCTAGTAATGGAAAGAAATTGCTAAGTTAAACACAATGTTCATTCCGTGCGTATATTTGTAATTTGTGTTTCAATTATTATTCATTTGTATGTAATTTGGATTTCAGTTATCG